TTCTTCCTTGACTTCACTGAACTTTCCTGGTTTCTCCTTCTACCTCCTAGCTATTACTCTTTTCTCCTTAATATTCATCTCTGGCATCAAAGCAGCTCCCCAGTGGAGTGCTATCCCTCTGCTCTGCTCTACCCAAATCCTTTCATTCTCTTAGTGAGCTCACCTACATATTCATTTTCTTGAGTTCAATTCCATCTCTCTTACCAGCAAAGAACAAGAGACATACAAAGCCCCTGCACTTCACCCCATGTTTCCAACACTCCTTTTAGGTGTGCTTTCACCACACACATTTGTCTAAAACATATTTCCCCTCAAAAGATGTTCTTTCACAATCACTGCCACTTCTCTCCCTTCTGCCATGGATTTCCTGAGACTCTGACTACCAACCTTGGAGACATTTGTCATCTTTCCTGTCCATCAGTCCTAGGTCCAAACTATCATTACTAGCTTCCTACCTGTTGTAAAACCTGAGTCTTTGTGATCTTTTTATCACATCATGCAATAATTATGTAAAATAATTAAATTTTCTTTTCTTTCATATTTTCGGTCAAGCTGGACCTTTCATATTTATTCTTGCCATTATTACTTTAATTTACTTCTCTTCTACATGCTTGAAATTCATTTACAATCTGTTCAAAGCACCATAATGATCTTTCTAAAACACTATTAACAAATAGTCTCACTCAGTTGTTTACAGGGCCTCTGTAGCTTGTCTTTCAGGACTTGCTATAATCTCTATCAGTATGCAATTTTCCCCTAAGCCCTATGCTCTCTCCACCTTCACTAGTCAGATTTATTTCCTCCTGGTTCCTCACATGCTCATCTGTCTCAGGGGCTCTCACACTCACACAGGAAGGTCCTCATTCCACTATTCCACCTTTCCCAGACAACCAGCACTTGTAGTGTCAGTCACTCGGCTGCTTCCCTCTACTCACACTGCTCTCCCTTCCTCAGCTCCTGAAGTCAGTACCACCTGGCTCAATAATGTTTCCTAAACGCCTCACACGAGTTACTCTTAGCTTCTGTGGATTGTAAGATAACTTTGGCAGGCACAGCACATGTACTAATGCTTCCTACCACCCCATGGCTCCAAAGGCATACCTACTAAATGTTGACTGGTTGCTAGAATCATGTAAAAAAAAAAAAATCACTCAAAGAAAGATTATTTACTTTGATTTAAGATACTTCTAATATCAGCAAAATGGTAAGAATCTAGTATATCTTCAAAACCCATGGAATAGTTGATCCAGACAGGAAGTAAATTATGACACAGGAAAGGACCTGGGAGATATGTCGGTGTGACAATGAGGGAGGGTCAGCTCTCTCTCAGATACCCACCTCAGACTGACAGGCCCCTAAGGGTGATGCCACTCTAGTCCTGACCCTCTGTGCATTAAATACCAACCATCAAAAACAAAGCCAAATCAAGAGTCAAATCCAAAGCAAACTACAGGAAAGTTATTTTCTCAGGATCATCAAAAGAACAGGCTAAGGGGCCCTCCCTGGTGGCACAACTGGTTAAAGTGCAGCACAATGAAACTATCCACAGCCACTGCAACTCAAGTTCAATCCCCTGCCAAGCAGCCACTGCAACGTGAGTTCGATCCCCGGCCAAGGAAGTAAGCCACATGGAATGGCAGACCTCTCCTGTCCTGCCTGCTGCTACCCTCAGCAGTGTACTTCAGTCAATCTGACTATTCTGTTCCCTACTCTGTCTCTGCTGAACCCTTTCACCCCACCCCTATGGCCTATATTCCAGGTCATGTATGCATAAAATAAATAAATCATAAAAAAACAAGAAGACTAAGTTTTGGTTTTCTGGCCTACCCACCTCAGGAAACACCTCAGGAAACAAAATGGGGGCAACTTAAAGAAAGTGTTCTTATAGAGAGCACTTTTAAATGGGTGTAAACACTAAATCCCTAGAACCCTAGAGTGTCAAAGCTGCTGTTTGGGTATGCCTCTCTTTTCCTGGCTCATCCTCAACTCAGTTGGTCGCAGTTGTTTCTTCTGAGAGGGGGCTAAGAACTCTGATCGATTAGAAGTTAATAGGCTGAGACAAAGCATTGCTTAATCCAAGAAGAATTCTCATGTAAGAACTCAAATATGTTGGAGAAATTCAGTAGAAGAAAAACAATCACGTCACAGCTTTACATGTCTACATATTTCATTGCTTTCCCCTTAACTTCATTTACTTCTTCCTGCATCCACTTTTTAAATGGGAAGGGAGCCCAAGATTTTATGAAGATGCAGTAGACTTCATGTGCCCGAATTTATCATTATCAAGGAAGAAAGATTTTAAAAGGCTGCTAAATATTCTGTTATTTTCAGCTTCGTAGACTGTTTCTAAAATTTCCGGAGAGAAAACCAGTAATAGTGATAACAATATAAAGTGACTTAGGAAGCACTTTTTCCCATGTGGAACATAATGGAACCCAAGGAAGACAGCAAGAAAGATGAGTACAGAATAAAAGCATGGATGCTTTCTCTTAGAACTTGGAGGAGACAAAGTTCCAATTCATCGGAAAATGGCAGAAAATGAGAACTTTTGGAGCAAAGAAGGCTCCAGCTAACCCTTCCTCCATTCTGTCTGTGTTATTTCCATTTTTCATAGAATCCAATTACCCTCTGGGGCCAATGGGACATCTTTCTGCATTATCTTCCCAATGTGCAAGACATCTAGAAGAGTCACAGTGACATCATGTGTACATGCTGGATCACTAAACATAATAAACTGCATTTCAAATGTCATCCCATTTTGATGTGTAAGAGGTCTAAAGAATGGATAAATATTCTGCTAGTGACAATCACAGTGTTACCGTCAAATAGAAAAGAAGAAGAGAGGTCAGTACTAAGACTAGAAAAGACCTTAATGGCTCATCTAGTCTAATCTTTCACATTTAAAAAGGACTAGCATTAAATCACAGAAGCCATTTAAAAAATTTTACTTTTTTGAGTTAACTACAGGGGAGAAAATGATATATGTCTCTCAGAACTTACAGAGAAAAAAAATATATAATAAATAAAACAGTGATTCATAAAAACTAATGGTCAAATATGCAGCCATACACAAAGGAAAAAATAATCCTAAAGGATAAGAGTTAGCACTGTACTTGCAGCATTTACTGTTTTAGAGTTTTCAGGAATGATTTATATGTCATAAAATTCCCCCCAATGTAAATGTAAAATTCAATGCTTTTTAATAAACAAAGTTAATAAACTTAATTGATGATATACCGATTACCACAATCCAATTTTAGAACAATTCCATTACCCCCCCAAAAAAACCTCAATGGGCCCTCCCTCGAAGTGCAGCACTGTGAAGGTAGCTGCATCTGCTTTAGCATGAGTTCAATCCCCAGCCAGGGAGGTAACCCACATGGTGTGGCTGACCTCTCTTGTCCCGTCCACTGCTCCCTCAGCAGTGTGCTGCAGACCTTGCCTGTCTCATCCATTGCTCCCCTCAGCAGTGCACTTCGTCAGTAGGCCTGTTCTGCTCCCCACTCTGTCTCTGGTGAATCCTCTCACCGCCTCTGCACCTCTGGCCTGTACCCCAGTTCTGTATGCACAAATAAATCTTAAAAAAAAAAAAAAACTTCCTCAAGCCTATATGTAATCCAATCTCTGCTCTAAGAAATCATTAATATACTTCACTGCCTCCTATAAATCTGCCTTTTCTGAAATCTCACATAAGTAGAATCATGATATATTTTCTTTTGTGACTGTATCCTTTGACTTACCATAATATTTTTCAGATTTATCTATATTGCAGCAATGTATTAGTAGTCCATTCCTTTTTTACTGCTGAACAGAATTCCAATGATACATTCACATTGATGGACATTTACAGTTTCCAGTTTGGGGTGTTTTGAATACTGCTGCTCTGAGCATTCAAGTTCAAGTCTTTTTGTGCACAGATGGTTTCATTTCTTTTGTGCCGATTTCTAACAGGATTACTGGGTTGTATTGTATAATTAGTTTACGTGTAAACTTCTAAGAAACTACTAGACAGTTGTCTGCCATTTTACATTCCCACCAGTTATTTTCAGTTTCTCCACTTCCTTGTCAGCACTTGATATTGTCCATAATTTTTTATTATCACCATTCTAGTATGTACTAGATCTTTTAACCTCCTCATTCAGTCAAGCTGAAAGTCAGTATCTAAATTCTGCTGGAATGAGAATTACTGATGTGATTAAAAAGTATTATTAAAGCTATAAAAAACACTTTCACCATGTACGTGAAATCCTCACTATGAAATCTTATTTTCAAAGAAATATATTTACTTTTGTTTTCTTGACAGAAAAACCCAATAAACATAAAGATAACTAAAGGCGCAAGTGTAGAAGATTATTTCACTACATTAATCTAGAGAGCTCACCAAGCATGCTGCTAACTCGACTCCCTTGCTGGTACTGGAAAAATGAAATGCTCCACTACAAAGAAGCTAGTTCCAAAGCATTTCTGAGCTGCTTTTCTGTTCTGCTTCCTTCTAATTTTCCCTGTTCTCTACCTTATGATTAACCACAGTCAATCAGATACACAATAAGCATTCTCATAATAATTATTTTATTGGAGGCTTTGTCAAAGTCTCCCAACTGGCCCAACAAACATAAAGATAACTAAAGGCACCAACGTAAAAGACTATTTCTTTTTCTATCACCTCTGTCAGGCTGAGGCCTCTTGGGCAAGTCACTGAGCTCCACAGCTTGCTCAGAACCCCCAAGAGTCAAAATAAGAGCTGCTCACAATGAGCAGAAGGCAACATTAAAGTTCAAGGGAATTAAGAGGATTACTGAAGACAAGTTTCAGGCGTGTGTTAAAAGGTAATGGCAAGTTGAATAAACAGCTGAAAACCACAGAAAATGCTACCTGGATGAATGAAGGATCTATGAGTAGAAATGATTTTCTGAAGAAAACCTGACATTACACAGCCTCTGAGAACCCTGGGCACAAATGCTCCTGAGCCAGATTTTCCCCACCCCTTCCCTTTCTCTTACCTTCGCAAAGAATATCCAAGCTGCACACTGCCCTGGGGCCATAAGGCTTTTTAGCTTCACTGTGCTGAACATGAGAAAGAATCCAAAAATCCCACTGGAAGAAGAAAATATTTTTTATTAGTGAGGCCCATCTTTCTTTAGTCATTAGCTTTGTTACATTTTACTAATTTTTAATCATTACACAACCTCTGTCTCACCTGTTTTCTAGTGTTCTCTGGATTAAAAACTCCAAAAATTAAAAAAATGATTAAGTTCTACTTTCCTAAGGAGCTATAATGAACACGCCATTGGCGGGTGGGGGAGGGGCGGACAGACATTTAGGAGAGCTCTGATTAAATCATGACAGAAAAACAACGTGGGGATGATACTTCCTGACTTCCTGCTCATTCCGTCTTGTTCCTTGCACTTAAGTGTTTGCCAAGGTAGAGATCTGGTTGTTTTTTTTTTTTTTTTTCAATTAGAGCAAAGTGCAAGTGCCAAGGAAGGCTTCCAGAGTGAATCTCAGCAGAAGAAGACAGAGGGTCTGGACTGGCCGCTGGAGTCATGTGAAAAGTGGTGGCTCACTCAGAACAGAAGTCCCCCAAATTAGGTGCACCTGTGAGCCTACAGAAAGCTGGGCTTTAGGAATATTAACCTAAAACAATGCATGTGATCTAAAAAAGCACCTCTCTCCCCATCCTCCTCAGGGAGTCTGAGGACTGGGCTGCATTTCAGGGACTATTCAGAAGTGTGGACCAGAAAGGGCACTGACACAGCAGAGACCTGGAGAAGTAGCAGCTAGTGATGGGCTCTTTTCAAAAGCCTCATTGTGTGGCCCAGAGCAAAGCAAAGAGAATTCCAGACAGAACGGCCACTCTGGCATTGGGACGTAGAGCAACTGGGGGCAAGAGTGCATCAGAGACTCCAAGACGGAAGGAGAGGCTGACTTCCTGGAGATATATGCAAGTGGGAGCTTGAGTGTGACTTTTATTTAGTTGAAGGCTGAAGAGCTATGACTGCAGCTGCACCCCAAACCAGAGGGGCATGTCTTTCCGGTTGTACCCCATGTGTACGTCCAGGTCTCACTGCCATGGTGCCCTCTGCCTTTCATTACAGATGCTGGTGAGTGACTCCAGCCCAGATGAGCTTTGCGAGGGAAATTTCTGGTCATGGGCTTCTCTGTATTTTCCCCCAACAGAGCAGAACACGGTGTGTTAAGAGAGTATGTGTACCACGTTTTGTGGGTTTACTTGGAAGCAGGACAAATGGAATTAAATATACTTAAGGCCAAATTTCACAGAAATGTGTTTCTTCACTTCATTAGATTAGTTCACAGCCGCATGCTCAGGGCAGGAGCAGAGCAAGGCATGGGGTTTCCTTTGTGTGTATGTCAGCCTGGATGGTCTGTAAAATCTGTTGAGATTCGCATCCTCAGTCCTGAGACAGGACAGTTGTGGATTAAGACACCGAGTATCTCAGACCGCAAAGGCAAAGGGCCCCCAGTGGGTGAGTGACAAGCTGGAATTAAGGACCTGGGTTTCTCTTCATGGCTGTGCTCACTGAGCCTCATAACCTTGGCTAAATCCCCTCTATTCGTTCCCCTCCTTAGATTCTGTGCTCTTAAAGAAGGAATAAGCGTAGTGGTTTTCATCCTACACTAAGGAAATCAGAGACTTTCAGAGTAGAAGGTTTCTTGACTCCAAACCTCACTTTACCAACGAGCAATGGGAGGCACAGGCACAGTTAGAATCCAGGTTCCTGAGTCTGTCAACAGTTCTCGGTGGCTCTTCAAACTTCATCATGGAAATGTGTCCTTGACCAGAGATAGACTTGCACATTGAAGGGGTCATGGCTGCGAGGTTTGGAGTAGAAAGTGAGGCAGCCAGCATTCTGGATGCTCCTCTTGGTGGCTTCCACCTGCTGCATCCAAGGAAGGATGCCCTCACAGGTGCCTGTCCAACCTCCCTCAGGTCTTTGCCTCTCCTCTCTACCTCCAGCCAGAGCAGAGATGATAATGGCTGTCATTAACCAAGCAGCATGTTTAGGGCTTTACATTTTTCTTTTCTGGGTCTTCCTACCACTCAGAGAAATAAAATCTATGTACAGGGTACATGGTGGGGGGGGGGATGCAGGCAGAAGGGCTTATCATGATATCTACAAGGAGACCATGGCTAGAAGAGGCTGTTCTCTGCTGCAAGCCTGCCTCCACAAGGGCCCATGCAGGGGAAGACACAGTTGAGCAACAATGCCTTCCAGCCCACCATTCAGTTCCTTCTTGGTGGTCTTTGTGGTCACCTGGAAACACTCTTCCAGCAGGGAGAGCTCACTGGTGAGGTCTGTGATGCTCTCGGTGAAGGTCTCCTGGGGCTGCAGTCCAGGGTGGTCTGTACAAGGGCAATGACCTTGTGCTCAGCGGGGTGGAGCACTAGATAGCCAGCCAACAGCACTTGCGGGTCCTGCAGCAGCTGCAATTTAGTGTTTCCTAGTGTGCAATCTCCGTTGATGTGAACAAACAGGTTTGGGGTAACGTGGTGTCCTAGTTAGTGATAATCGTCTCCCCTTGGAAGAATTAGAATGATTAGAAGGCATGAAGGGCATTCATGCTTATGCCACAGAGGTGTTCAAACTCCTACAGATCTTACTTATACACATAATCACCCAGTACTCATACAATCTTTCCACTTTACATATGAGAAAACTAATCTAAGCTTGGGAGAGCCAGGATAACTTGCTCAAAGACCAAACAACCAACCAACATCAAAGCTGGAATTCAAGCCAAGCCCAAGGCTGCCACCATAGCAGACTACATCTTTGAGCTGTCCAAGGAAGCCTTTCCAACCAAAAAGCCATAACAAAGTTAATGGGGTGAGGATCCTGGCAATGAAAGGGGGGCAGGATGGATTTGAACTTCCATGTTTCTGAACATATCCATTTAATCGGCCTACATCCTGAGTGTTTCCCGAGGCCAACTACTAATGGTCACTTTAGCTATTTCCTAGTTGCTGGTCTCCAAAATCTGCTTCTCAGAATCTTAGGGTTCAGTCAGGATTTTCTGGAGCAAGAGGGATACCAAGCTAGAAGCCTAGAGTTGGAATTCTGAACCCAAATCCTCCCCTGGACTAAATCAGTTTCATCAGTTTTATATACTGAAATACTGTGTAAAATTTTCTTATGGAGAAAATCAAATTGGGGGAATCCTAGCTTCTCTATAAGTTTGAAAATCACTGCCCTGGTGGAGGATCAGGATAGAATAGCAGTCCCCACAGGCTCCAGGTCCCCCACACTCCTGAGGGTATCACAACAACCCATCAATGGTCACAGAGCTGCCGGCACCTGCACCCGCCACCACGCTCTTCTGCCACTCACTCAGATAACTGGCAACGACCCTGAACTTCACAGAGGGCAAGACGCAGCTGGTAGTAAAGAAACAAACAAACAATGATCCAAGGAGCTTTAGGAATTAAGATTACCTGGCACAGCAGCTACCATGGAATCTGTAGAAATACAGGAACGGAAAGTCCAGGACGCTGAGGAGGTCACCTGAGGGGTACAGCAAGGGTGAAATGGTGGTCCACACACACTCTCTACCCCAGGCTGCGCCAAGTGTCTTTAGCAAGGCAGCACTCAGGGCTGAACTACACAGTACTGAGTCCACTCTGGGCTTCTGAAGGTTTTTATGCTAATTGTCTACAAGTAATATATCCTAATAATGCTGATTTAGTAAAAGTTTGCCCTGTACCAAAAATTGTATGCACATAACCTCTTTCAATCCTTGGGACAACTCTAAAGTTTTATTATCCCATTTTAAGTGGAGCTTTGCCTAAGATTGTGCAACTCCTGAACTGTGGAGCCAGAATGTGAATCCCCACCACTCAGAATCCTAGGATTTGAGCATAGACCCCAAAAATCGTCTTTTAAAGATGTCTCTATTCTTTTCTGCCTTATGTCTAAAAGAAAATTTAAAAAAAAGATTATGAATGCATGCTTCTGACATCTTTTTTCATTTTTGCATTAATTACATAACAATCAGCACAGGGGTCAGATGGCCATGCTACTCATTTTAGTTTAAGGTCCAAAGGGTACATTTATTTCTAGTGAAGTAAATTCATTCTTTTAGTTCCACTTGGTGCAAGAGGAAATAATCACACATATTGGCTGCTTCCCTCTCTGGAATTTGAACTTGGTAACAAACAAGAAGTCAGGAGATTAAAAAAGCAGAAGGCCTTCCAAAAATGTCCAGAGAAAAGGAATTAAGCATTTCCACAGCAGATTGCTTAATCCCTCCAAATCTGGAATTGCTGGGACTCTGGAGAAGCCAGGCCTTCCTCCCCCCAGGACTTGATATGTTTTTGTGGGTATTAGGCTGATTTTCTTCTAGCCACAGTTCCCCAAGTGTGCTATGGATCAGACTTCATCACTGCACAGTGCTAATCAGCCTTGCATCCAAAGGACATGATAGGCCATTTATTACTTCCTCAGAGCCATAAATGATTTAAAATGACTCAGCCATCCACTGGGAAGGATCGTTCCAAATGCCATTTTTCTGGAAGTTTTTATTTGATTTTATTATTATTTTTAAAGATTTATTTATTTATGCATACAGAACTGGGGTACCGGCCAGAGGTGCAGGGGTGATGAGAGGATTCACCAGACAGAGTGGGGAGCAGAACAGGCAGCTCGACGAAGTACACTGCTGAGTGGAGTAGCGGGTGGGTCAGGAGAGGTCTGCCGCGCCATTGTGTGTCACACCCAGGGCAGGGATTGAACTCATGCTGAAGTGGCTTTAGCTTCTTAGTGCGGTGCCTTCACCCACTGCGTCACCAGGGAGGGCCCTGGAAGCTTATATTTTAATGCTGATTACTGTTACTTTGTTTTGCTTCATTTGTGTACTGATATGTGTGTGTTTAACTAAAAAGAGAGGGTCCTTTAGGGTCTAGTTTTTGTGTTGTTCAACAAGAGGTTAAGAGAGTTTCTTTCTATCTGTGCTTTTTATTACATAAATATTAAATCATGTCCAATATTAGATGTAACAACATAATGAGCGCTCCCTATAGCTATTACCAGGTTTCAACAATTCCAACATATAAATATCTTGTTTCATTTATATATCACTGAATTCTTCCTCCCAACACAGAATCTTTTTTTTCTTTACTGAGGTGATGTTGGTTACAACGCTGTACATGATTTCGGGGTACAGGTTCACACCTCTTCAGATATATGTCACTACCTCATGGCCACCATCAAAACACCACTGTCCTTTACTCTAAGATGACGGGCTCCCTTCCCCCTTTGTCTCTCCCTACCCACCCCTTCTTGAGGCCTTCATTCAGCTGTCATATTTCTATGGTTCGCTTTGATTTACTTTTTGTGCTTTCTGCATGACTCTACTGAGTACTATCGCGTTAACTCAAGACCTATGTTGGTAGACCAGTTGGACGTCCAGTGTGTAAAAGCGTCCACTTATTGAAAAGTCCCTCCCCACAGAAGTCACAGCTCGATGAGGTCACCCTGGCCCCAGTGGGCAGCCAGAGTCCCCTCTGAGGCGGATGAAGGGACATCCATGGAGGATTTGCTTTGTTTCTTGGCAGCTGGTGGCTCTTGGCCTTCTTCCAACTTCCCTCTCAGTGTGAGAGAAACTACAGCGCTGTCAGTGTGATAATGAGGAATGGGCAGAGAAGGAGATAAATTAAATCCAGGACCTCAAGTTTCCTAGGACTCTGCCTCCTCCCAGCATCCAGTCATTCATCAGAAACACTCCTCAGAAGTGAACAGCACTCAGGGTGCACTGGCACCTTCATCAGCCCAGGCCAGGCTGTGGAGGGGCCTAAAGATTAGGGCAGATAAAGAAGAAATCAACCTTGGGTATTGTACCACTTAAATAATAATCCTCACCCGGCCCTCCCTGGTGGCGCAGCGGGTTAAAGCACAGCACTGAGAATCTAAAGCCACTTCTGCATGAGTTCAATTCCCGCCTGTCCCGGAGGTGACCACATGGTGTGGCAGACCTCTCCTGACCCGCCCACTGCTCCCCTCAGCAGTGTACTTCCTCAGTCTACCTGTTCTGCTCCCCACTCTGTCTCTGGTGAAGCCTCTCACCGCCCCTGAGCCTCTGGCCTGTACCCCAGTTCTGTATGCACAAATAAATAAATCTTGAAAAAAAAAATAATAATAATCCTCACCCAAATCCTGAAAATTGATCCCACAGTGATTGAGAAAGAGAGAGGGGAAGTTCACTCTTATCTTTGAATCATTTCTAAAACTGAACACATCTCTCACATGGCATCTAGATCATTCCAAGCCTGTTTGTTTTTAAAGACTATCAGGCTCTAGAGAGCAGCAAGTCTACCTTACTCATCAGTTGGATCCTCGGTGTCAGGACCATCCCTGACATATAATAAACACCACCAAATGTCTGAAAGACCCAAGTATCTCCTGGAAAGAAGCCTGAACACTTTCCAGTTGGCTGTGCTGGGGTTTCAAACTGACCCAAATGCTTCCCCTCTGACGTTTCTGGCCTGCCTCTTCTTTTACTACAGTACAATTCTTAAGCAGAGAGGGTGCATATTAATCTGGAAACAGCAGTGGTTGATGGCTATGGTAAAAATAGCTCTGGAGATATTGCAGTGTGTGGTTGGCCAGGCCAATCACATGAGAACTAGATCCAGGATCATTAAAAATATGTAGACTTCAAAAGGCTACGCTCCTGCACCATCTAGTGCAGAATGCACAATTTAAACACAGATTAAGTGCTTCAAGAGTTGTCAAGATGTTCAGTGGCGTCAAGGAGCAGCTTACGCAATAAAGTCTGAGTTGAAGTTTCACTGCTGTGTTCCAGAGTTAGAACCTGCTGACTCCAAGTGAGGGAGTGAATTCATATCTTTGAAGATTACAGAGCCTTTGTGAAGTGCTGTACAATCTTACCACATTCAGAACTAATTGATATTTGAACATCAAGATTTCCTCTCATCACATTTTAGCCCTCAGAATTGGCAGGAAAATGAAAGGTCAGTTCCAAGAAGCCATTAGTGCTGTCTGCTTTGTATCACACATAGCAATGGGCACACCAGGTAACAAGGTCATCTGGAGGTCAGAGTCCTGTCGGTCTGCCTGCTCTTCTGGTCTTGTGACATGACACAAATATGCCAACTTTCAAACACAAGGAGAATTTCTTTTCCCTAAGACTGTTTCAAAAGGTGTGAGAGAAAGCAAGTTGCTGACGTCTCTTGCATGAATCATGAAGTTAAAAGATTAGGAGAAAAAAAAAAAGATTAAGAAAAGTAGATTCCAGCCACCAAGAAAAAAATCCAGTGCCTACAGGGGGAAACATGGAAGGCCATGGACATGGAAAACTATCTACTTGATCCCTACTTCCATGTCCAATGTACCCAAAATGCTGAGGAAAAACCACATCATCTACATTATGAGATATTTTATCTCTCCAGTCACTCATGAGTGAATAAGAGGGTAGCTCCATCATAAGCACCTTTGAGTGACCATGACCCATCCACTAGAATAGCTGAAGTAAGACTGATAATACCAAGTGTTGGTAAAGAAGCAACTGGAATGCTCATACATTGCTGGGTAGGAGTGTAAAACAGTGAACTCACTATAGAAAATTGGCATTTTCTTCAAAAATTATACATATATCAGCCCTTCCCTGGTGGTACAGTGGGTTAAAGCACAGCACTAAGAAGCTAAAGCCACTTCAGCATGAGTTCAATCCCCACCCTGGAGCTGACCCACATGGCATGGCAGACCTCTCCTGACCCGCCCACTGCTCCCCTCAGCACTGTACTTCGTCATCTGCCTGTTCTCCCCACTCTGTCTCTGGTGATGCCTCTCACCACCCCTGCACCTCTGGCTTGTACCCCAGTTCTGTATGGATAAATAATCTTTTTTTAAAAAAGTATACATACATCTACTCTACAACCCAGAAATTCTACTCCTAGGATTTTATCCACGATATATTAAAAACAAGTTCACAGTCTTATATAAAAATGTTCAAAGCATTTGTATTCATAACAGCCAAAACCTGGAAAAAGCACAGGTGAGTGTCAACAGATGAATGGATAAACAAAAGGAGGTATGTCACACAATGGCACACTATTAGCAAGAAAAAGGTACAAGCTAGTGAGTGACATGCAGAACAATGACTCTGTAAACATTAAGTTGAATGAAAGGGCCAGACACAGAAGACTACTTCCTGTGTGATTCCATTTGTGTGAGGCACTGAAGTAGACAGAACTTGTCAGTGGAACTAGAAATCACATCTGATATCACTGAGAAAGGAGTGACTGAAAATGGGCACGGGGAAGTCTTTTTTAGCAACAGGAAAGTTTTATATCTTAATAGGAGTTTGGTAACATGGGTATATATATTTGTTAAATTGATTAAGTTGGATATTTAAGATATTTCATAAATCTAAGTTACATCTCAATTTTAAAATGTTTTAAAGGGACTATCAAATTATTACAAAACAAGTATAAAAATATGAGGTGAAAAAACAAAAAAAAGAATAAAATCTTGCTTTAAAATCCAGAAGTTATTTTTATTGAAATAATTGGCACATACAATTATATTAGTTGCAGGTGTATAACATAACTATTCCATGTTTATATGCACTGTGAAATGATCACCACAGTAAATCTATTGGGTTGTCGGAAAACTCATGATGCATTTTTGCTAGGAAAATATAGAAAAACATGCCATGATTTTTCTGACAACCCAATAGTTACCACTCATCACTATATCTAGTTACAAATTTCTTTTCTTATGATGAGGACTTTTAAGATCTACTCTCAATAACTTTCAAATATACAAGAGTCATTAACTATAGTCACCATGCTGTATATATAGCCCTGTGATTTATTTACTTAATAGTATTTATAAATACTTTATTTACTTTATAGTTAGCCCTGTGATTTATTTACTTTATAGCTGTCAGAAACTATTAACAGAAACTTCAAAAAAAAAAAAAAAGACTGCACCTATGGGCTCTCTTCCTTTGTCATACCTGGGGCAGGTACAGGGAGTCAGGAAGACAGCTCTCTTTGACCTACACTCAAGTCCTGCAGAGCACATTTTATTATTTCATGGAAACTGAAATAAGCAAGCAGGAAAGAAGACATAAAATGGGCTAGACTACCCAGAGCCCAACGAGGAAACTAACTTATGGATAGAAATCAAAGCTGCCTATGTAAGAGTTTCAGGTTTTTAAAGTTGGTCAAACTGATCCCCAGTGGGTCTTCTAATCGTCTCTAATACCAAATTCCTACATTAATATATATCTGCCTTAGTGATTCACTGTAACAAGCAAACATACACCTTTTACTATGCCCCAAGCAGTGGGCTGCTACTGTGGCCACACAGACTGTACTGCCCAACTTCAGAGGTCTGAACACAGCTGTGGCAGCCCTCGCAGTGCCTAGCTGATCCAAACTTAGACAATCTCTTCATTTCGATTTCACAAGCAACTTCCCTACTCTAGTCAAGGTGATTCTTCAACTCAGCTTCTCTTCAAGGCAGGCACTAAAGGACAAACCTCATACACGAAAATTTCCAGTCAATGGCATTCCACCGATGGGCGGTAAGCAGAATAACAGCTATATCTCATGAAGTCACCAGGGCATGCAATTTGCAAATGTTGTGAGAAAATAACAAACAGATCACAGTGACCACACACAGAGTAACTTTATAAACAGAGCCCTGGTATGTTATTGAATACACAAAGAAGCAGGTTTAGTTTACAGTTTTTTCCTGGGATGCCCATGGGCTAGATACTGAACTTGGTACTGGTACAGATGGAAATCTCCAGGTCTTTGAGAAGGCTGCTGCCAGCTTATCAATAACCCACACACATCTTCCCCAGGGCTGGAGTTAGAATCTTGCCATGAAGGCTACCAAGACCCCTGAATGTGACAGCGTTGGGCCATCACCCTGCTGGGGAGCTCAGCTACTTATAGCAAGAGAGATTTAGGCTGCCTCTGCTGTTGATAGCATTTGAGCCAATCTCATCATGCTGGCAAATTCCTTCTAGCATCCAATTTACTATAGCAGGTCTCTTTAAAGACAGGATCTCGGCTACCCAAAAAACAGCAACCCACCAAAGGTGCAGCTAGAAGTCGTTCCAGGAAGTGTACCAAATATCTCCCTAGAGAATCCCACAGTTTTATAGCTCCCTGAGCTGCCCACCACAATCATTTACCACACAATGAGACATAAGCTTGCAGGAGAAGGTATGGAAGGGAGAATCTGAGTCTATCCTATTTTTTTTTAAAGATTTATTTATTTATTCATATAGAATTGGGGTATAGGCCAGAGATGCGGCGGGTGAGAGGATTCACCAGAGACAGAGCGGGGAGCAGAACAGGCAGATCAACGAAGTACACTGCTGAGGGGAGCAGCGGGCGGGTCAGGAGAGGTCTGCCTCGCCATGTGGTCACCTCCTGGGCATGTGGGAACTGAACTCATGCGGAAGTGGCTTAAGCTTCTTAGTGCTGTGCTTTAACCCGCTGCACCACCAGGGAGGGCCTTATCCTATTTTTTTTAACTTAAAATATAATTTGAAAGAAAATTAATCCTTTCTGAGTTCCTAATATGTTCTCAAATAAGAGACTTCTGGCATTATTCTTTTTAACTTTTTAAAACTCTAATGTAATTCATTACTAAAAAAAATTCACCCTTTAAAAATATACAGTACATGTGGGTTTCATTTTCAATTTGTTTTCTTTGTTGCAATAAAATTAATGAGATGGCAGAATCAGTTAATTTGGAATTAAGAGAACTGATCTTACATCCTTGTGCTGACACTACCTATTAGTAAAATGGGATAGTCAACTTATTTAGTAATAACTTCCTTAGATGAAAATATATCTACTCCATCATAAACATTCTTATGAAAAACTAAAACTATTAAATACTGACATAAAGCATTGTATAGACATATATGCCATTTATAATACATCATGAATAGTGAAATAAATACTTCAAAAAATAAAAATGTACAGTACAATGATTTTTTTAGTATATTCTCAGAGTTGAGCAACCATCACTTCCAGCTAGTTCCAGAAGACTTTCTTCTGCTCCAAAAGAAACTGACACCTAATTTAGTCACTCTTCTGCCCAGGCCAATCCCCAGCCTTAGGGTGCTGACCCCTTCATGTTTCCAGAGAATAAGTGTAAAGGTCTTGTACTGACCAAAAAACTTAGTAACACAGGCCCCCTGTTATCCAAAAGTTATTTGATATATTATTTATAAAGTTATTCTGGTTTTATTGTTAATTTATTATTATTATTATTATTATTATTATTATTATTATTGTTATTAGCATTCAAATAGCAAGGGAGACTTGGATAGCAGGTAAAACCTGTAACTGAAGGTAAAATGTAAGCATGTTTGCAAAAAATGCATAAACTATTACCAGCAGTTATTATGTTTAGAAACTGCTGGACAAAACACCTCTTCTTCCCCAAAAGACATTCCAGGAAGACATTTAGGAACATCATACAGAAGTGTTCACTCACTTAGGAGACTTTAAAATAAATTGTGGTGCAGTAGACCTCTCCTGTCCTGCCTGCTGCTCCCCTCAGCAACGTGTTTCAGTCAATCTGCCTATTCTATTCCCCACTCTGTCTCTGGTAAAGCCTCTGAACCCCTGCACCTCTGGTCTGTACCCCAGTTCATGTATACATAAATAAGTAAATCTTTTTTTAAAAATAAAAATAAGTTGTAAGATCCCTGTAAAATCATTGAAAAAAAGAAAAAACGTTTGGAAAGAGGGTTCAGAGACAGGAGTAACAGACAGCTCTGCTACTCACTTCTTCCACATCATTTCATCACCTAAGTTAACTCTTTGGGGCTTCAGTTTTTCTCATTGGTAAAATTTGGTGGTGCCTTGAATAATCACTAAGATCCCTTCTTGCTCTGATAATCAGGAGTATAACAAATGAACATGCCTACGTGTCAAAAGCAGAGCCATTTCATTTCCCCCAAATTCACTAGAAGTCACTTGGAGTAAATGAACATGTGAATCAGAAGAACCAGAAAACAGAACTCTCCAAGGACCTTTGAAACACAAACACAACAAAAAGGGAGGTCGCGTAGTGGACTCTTGAACCTGTTGGGTGGTGACCTCCTGACAGCGTAGGAAGGTCGAGCAGCGTGACAACACAGGCGACTGGCAGCATGGCGAGCAGGAACTGTTTAGAGTTAGCACCTGGGCTTTGTGTGATTTAAGATTTTGCCAAGGATAGGCTCTCAACAAATGCTAGTGGAGAAGGTGATCAACAGCAAACTTGATCATGGGCTAGCACCGGGCTGGGGGAGTTGACAGAAACAACAGATGTGCTTCAGTGTGGGCATCAATAATACCCTGAGGAGAAACAAATTCAAATGGTGCTTGTGAGACTTTATGCAATAAAGGCCGAACTGCGCCTTCACTGCTGTGCTCTAGAGTTAGAACCTGCTGACTCCGAGTGAGGGAGCAAATCCATCATGGGTTATTCAGGCCAGGGCCAAGTCTGTGGGCCATCCTGGGAGTCAGACGATCACATTTTCTTACAAAATGTCGCTCAGACACATAACCAGGGCAGAGCACTGGCTTGAATGGACAACACACCTTAAACAAACAGAGCACGACAGACATTTACCTGTGGGATGAGATGCAAATGCCAGGAGCACCGCACTGAAAAAGAAACAGCACAGCAGTGACAAAACTTCCTTGGCACTGAGAAAACCACACACACTCCTACCCATTCTACTTGGAAAGAGTAAAGGGGACCTAAAAACAAGTATCTGTACTGAATGGTCTCCTTCCACCTAACCCCACCTCCTCAGGAAGTTAGGGAGAACCTCTTCACCTATTTCTGGATTAGGCAGGAGCAATGGGTCTACTGGGGGACAGCGGACCCCAGCTCCTGTCAGCTGTGCCATTGAGTGTCACACTCACCCACCTCCTTTACAAAGAGTATTTGTAAGCTAAACAAAGCACTAAATTACAAGTATTCTGCACTCTCATCACTAGCTGTTGAATGTTAGTTAATTTCTTTTTTGGCCACATAATTAACTTCATTAGAAGGCAAGTTCAATTTTTGAGAAGCTAGGCTGAAAAATGATGCACTCATGCATGATGAGCCCAAAAGCTGGCGTAGCCCAGACTCACAGGTGTTGCTGGAAAGGATGAAAGGAAGGTGCATCCCCCCTGGGGTGGACCACATATGCCCTGGACACCCCCATCTCCTATGCCACTCCATGGCATCTTCACTCTGTCCTATGCCACCTTCCACAGCCACTTCCAACCCAACTCCATGTCATCATGGCAGCTGATCTTACTAGAGCTTTAAGGAATGTTTTGTTTGGTTCTGGATTTGCTGGATGTCACACTCTGGTCCTTAACCCAGGCTGCATGTCCCCTAAAAGCCTGGCTGACGATAGACTCAGAGGATGTGGTCCAGACCCCAGTGTTTGACTCTGTTGTGGTCTCTGGTCATTTCACTGTGCACTGGCTCTGCTGGGTGACTAGCAGCAGTGTGGAAGAGGATAGTTTTGAGCAGGGAAACCACTGCTAATTCATCAGCCCTGCTCTGCTGCTGGCTTTTCTCCCAGTGCCATTTCTGTGGTTCCCAAGCCCTTGCTTGCTCTCCCTTTAGAGCACTGGCAGCCTGTTGGCTCCCAGAGGAGAAGCTCAGTGGAAGAGGAAGGCAATGGAGAATGGCCACGCGTCTAGTCATTCAGAAGCTGTAGGTGTGTGAGATAAGGCTGGCAGGTAGCTGTAAAACAGACACACTACAAATGAGACTGGAGATGTGTCCTGCATGCGGCCATCTTTGTTTATCTTCTCTTCTATCTTTGGAAAAACCTACCCTGTAGTTACTCCATTTTTTTCCCCAATGAATCTACTTTTGGTTATAATTTCCATAACAGAAGTTATAGCTCCTATGGTAAGACATAAGGGGCCCCTTTCCATCCCCAAATATTTCCTAGGGTCTCCAATGGTACCCCAAATTCTATTGCTGGAATCACCGCAAAGGGTTAGCCTGAAAGAAACATTAGGCAATAAAAATAAGAAATAATTAAATGACAACATTGATTCTGTTTGAATTTTGCAATTACAATGTCACAGCACTCCTAATTCCTACACTGTGTCCTCCTTGGGATCAAAAGACACATTTATTCATCCTTAGATCCCAAGTGCCTTTACCAGACAAACAGTAGAGGCTTAATACATTTTCCAGATTGCAAGTAATCATCTCTAGGCATATATGGCAGGGATACATTTGAAGAGAAATATTAACTTGAAGCCCCCTATCATTCTAACATGTAAACTCTGAGGAAATCACACTAATGTAAAAGGAACAGCATGCCAGAAAAACAGCCTACTTTAAAATTCATTCATTCAACAAGTATTTATTGAGTACCTAGTAAGTGCCAGGCAGTGTTCTAATAAGGAAAGAGAGCAAGGAACACAGAAAACATTTGTACTCATGGGAAAATAAAGAACAAAACGTAATTTCCATGGGCTACACTCCAATGCATCTTTTTTCTTTCACAAAGTCACGCACCAGAGAAAATGTCTATATTTCCCTTTCTCTTTCTTTCTCCGGCTCTTTCTTTCTCTCTCTCCCCTTCCCCCCACACAAAATTATCTACAAAATAATATGAACAGAGGTCAATATGGCTAGTTTCTATTTAACAGACAGTGAGAGACTTGTGTCAGCTCATGTTAAAAAGGAAGGGGCTAGGCATATATCCTATAATATATCCCATATAAGTTATCTACAATTCCCTCAAAATGCAGATTAAGGTCATACCATTTTGTTTCCAGCCCATATATAATATCCTCCTTTATTCCTTCCATCACCCCATGCCTCCACCTTGGGTCTGAGCCTTCTATCGCTATGAAAAACATCCCCAGATGAGAGCTGGGAACAACTACAGCCTCAAGAAAATAGAGGAGCGTGTGTCTTAGAGAGAGAATCAGCAACTACTGAGCTCTCTCAAAAGACGGAGAGTTCACACCAGGCTTGGCCCTGGCAGGCACTTCAGGCTGGCACACACAGGCAAAACCACCCCACAGAGCTCGGTGATTGATGTCCTCTGTCTTCAGCACTCGTGGGAAACCCAACAATGACCCTTGCTCTGATTCATGTATCTTTATCACTTGTACTGAAAGATCTAAAAACAGGCTGGCCAGCCAGGAGGCCAGAAGTACCAGGCTCTTAAGGAGAGGGATCCCCATCTTCACACGAAGGGAAGGAACTGTGAGTGGATGGGAAGACAGGAGAACCAGTGTGGGGCTAAGAGGGTATCAAAGAGATTTTCCCATCCCCTCACTGCTGTGCTGCTTGAGGGGGCTGTCCCATGTTCTGTGGAAAAGACAACTGCCTACAGGGGCGTGGAAACATTTTAAACAACAACATTCTCCTGAATCTTCTGGAAAATCTTTCAAAAAGGCAGCTAGTGAGTCTGGAAAACATGGAACTAAGGATTGTTTCAGCTGGGTACAAAAGGGGTCCATAGTCTTGAATGGGGTGAATATGCTTCAAATAGGCATTTTAATAATTATTATTATTTTTATGCACTTTGCTTGTAAATGGAGTATACAGCTCATGTTCAACTAAAGTTTTAAGCTGAGAAATTTCTTCCAGAAATCACTGTGACCAAATATTGAAAGGCGTATCTCCCCCTGGCTCTTGTTACTCAACGTTGCTGCAGTAAGCAAACTTGGGTTCCTAAGAGCAAATCTCACTCTGCCTCTCAATTGGTTCCATTTAGTGCAGTCTGGGACAACTAAAATCCAAGAGTTTTCCCCAACTATGCTGCTTAGTGCCACATCCCTGCTCTTTACTTGGTTGGGGGCAAGGGTGTGATCTCAAGTCCATACACTACACTGAAATGCTATAAAGCAAATTTCCTTAACAACTATCCCTTCACAACAATCTGGAGATGCAGATGATTATAATTTAGATTTCCTGAAGACCTTGAAGAGGCATGTCAGAATATGGCAGTATGGGGAGCTGTAGTTCTAGTTCCTGACTCCCAATGGCACACCCCTTCTTTCTCCACCCCAGGCTCTGTCCAGCACCCTGAAAGGTCTCAGACATGCACATGTGAACACCTTAGTGTGCAAGCCTACCCCTCATCCACAGTCCTCCACTAACAGTCTTTCTTTGGATTCCCCCTGGGTCTGCCTTGGAATGAGCTCAGGACAGCCAGAGCATGGAATTCCAGGGCACAGACTGGGGGTGTGAGTTCTGGGAAGAAAACTACATATTCCATGTGGAGAAGTGTTGCTTGCCCCTCTTGTCTGGCCTAAGGGCAGAACTATTATTTGGTTTTCTCAACTCTGGGTCAACTCACAGATTATTTAACTTGCCTTCCAAAAAGGCACATTGGCTCAGAACTCTCTAGTCAAAATATTATTAGAAATAATATTCATTAGCTCTAGAAGAATGGGTTAGTGTTGAAAATGTAATTCATACTTTACCTGAATATATAGTTTAAGTACTGCTGGTCAATGTCGCTAAGGAATAAAGAAAAAGAAATGTGAAACAACAGAAATGTTTTACACACACAAAATAGTCAATCTTCTATTAATAAATTATATTTACATCTATAAATTATCAACAGTCTGAATACAACTTCATATTCAAAGCCCATTTCTAGTTCCTTTTTATTTATACATACAAGAGCTGGGGTGTAGACCAGAGGTGTGGGGGATGGAGAGTGAGAGGATTCACCAGAAACAGGGTGGGGAGCAGAACAGGCAGATCCACCAAAATACAATGCTGAGGGGAGCAGCGGGTGAGACAGGAGAGGTGTGCTATGCCATGTGGGTCAGCTCCCTGCCCGGGGATTGAACTCCTGCTGCAGTGGCTGCAGGTAGTTTGACTGTGCTGCATCTTAACTCCTTCATTCACCAGGGAGGGCCCCCTGGTTCCTTTTTATAAAACAGTTCCTAATTTAATACTATCACACACACTTTCATTTATGGTGGTCTATTTCCTTTAAGCACAATTGGCACTTTTGAGGGAGACTATTGCCCACCTAAACTAAAAAAAATTATTCATTACTTTCCTGAAATCCAAATTTAACTGGACATGCTGTTTAATCTGACAACTCCACTGACTTCTTGTTGCAAAAACCTTTTATTGAAAGAACAAAAGGTGTTTGAGGGACCGAAAGCCACACATCTCAGCCTCCATCCACAATCTTCTCCCGGGAATCAGTCGCATCACATCTCCCCAGGCCAGGATGGAAACCCAGGGGTCAGCTGGCCAACCTAGGTGCCCCGACATTGGTGGGCAACTCCTGCCCACCCAAGCCTGAATTCTCCTCTTTCTCAGTTACATTCACAAGGCAGGTCCTCCAAATGCCACCCAAAGGCACAACACATAATGACTGGGTGACTTCTAGGTCTAAAATAAGTGGGGTTAGCAAAGCGCTGGGGAGACCATAACAAAGCAGTGAACTTCTAAGCTGGAAGAAGGAAACTGGGGTCCAGTGCAGCTGGTGACATAATTCTTGCAAATGTTCCCTAAATATCTGCACGAGGGAAGAAGACAGCCCTCTGGTACTGACCGGTACTGACCGGCGCTGGCCTGCGGAGGCCTAGTAGCAGAACATGACTTTGGGGCCTGAGCTGCTGCCTGCACTGCAAATCAGACTTGCAGTCTCTGGCCAAATGGAAGAAGCTCTTGAGACCTGGGTTTCACGCCTTTCCTTTCACCAAAGGAGAGCTCACCAAATTAAAGTTTTACCTTAAGACATTGGGCTTCTGGGACTTCTGGAGTATCTTATAAGCTCCTGAAAACGAAGCAACACATGTCAATGGCAAAGGGCATTCTTCTGAAGAGGCTGCACGCGCATCCAGGGAAATACATAGTGTATCAGTATAAAGCAGAAAAGGCCCAGCGGTGAGGCTGCCGGTCCCCTCACGCCTACAAGGGTCACCTGCTCAGACCACGAGGACCAACACTAGGGGTTTCAAAGTTTCAAATTCAACAATCCCCTTGATAATGCAGCTCAGTATAGATAGGGACTAGGAAGGTTCCTTATCAACAGAAGCACACAATTAGCAGAAGTTTTCGGCTTCCTTGGCATGGCATGCCTGAGAAAGAAACACCACAGCATTTCTGAACTGTGTGTAATAAAGTCTGCGCTGTTTCCCCTCCCCCCAAAACTACAGGCAGGAAACATTGGAACAGGAGTGAAATAGAGAGATGGCCTTTTTATTTTATCCACTAACTTTTCTTTTTTATTTATTTACTGCTGAATGAGTGCTTTTAACACACACTCCTGGATCACTTCCCATCATCTTTAGAGATCGACCAGCATCCCACATGTGGACTTGAGCAAGCAAAGTCTGCGCCTGATATGTTAATGAAGTTTGTCACAGAAGACGACTATAATATATTGGAAATGGAAACATTTGAAGAAAATTCCAAAACAGAAATATCAAACTAGAAAAAACTTATTTAGTTTTTAACTTTGCAACCTTGTGTTCAATCTTCTTGTCATCTCAGGTCAACAAAAAGTGGATTTACAGTAAGGATATATAATAAATAAACCTCCATTATTTAAGTAAGCATTCTTTCAAAACTTACCTATGCAGAATAAGTGAATGACAGCCCAGAAATATCCATCTGGATCAAACTGTAACACACGATTTTAAAAAAGTTTATACATATAGCAATGCTCCTCTCTGCAGTTTTGCTTTCTGTGGTTTTACTTACATGGCATTAAACATCCAAAATAATAGATATTTTGAGAGAGACCCTAACTTTTAGTAAAATATGTTGCTATAAGAGCCCTCCCTGGTGGCCTAACGGGTTAAAGCGCAGCATTATGAAGCTATTCGAAGCCACTGCAGCACCAGTTCTATCCCCAAGCAGGGAGATGACCCACATGGAGCAGCAAACTTCTCCTGTCTCACCTGCTGCTCCTCTCAGCAGTGTATTTCAATCAGGTCACCTATCTGTTCTCCACTCTGTCTCTGATGAATCCTCTCACCACAGCAACCCCCCCAACTCTGCCCTGTACCCAGTTTTGGTATGCATAAATAAAATAAATCTTTTATATATATATATATATATATATATATATATATTCACTCAGTTATAACTATATATATATATATATATAGTTATAACTGAGTGAATTGTCTCACCAACCCTGCACTCCACTCCTGACCTGTACCCCAGTTCTGTATGCATAAATAAATAAATCTTTTAAAAAAATTTTTTTTGAAATAAATAAATTTTAAGATCCCCATTTATTCATAACATTTGGGGCTCTTTTGTTGTTGTTGTTATGAAATGGAGATAATAATAATAGTCACTTCCCTTGTGGAATTGTGAGATTTTAAATTTAAAAAATACCTGCAGCATTGGCACAGAGCCTGGCACACAGCAGATTCCCTATAATTGTTAGCTATTCCTACTTCCTGAGGCCCCAAGTCTTCAGAGGTACCTCACAGCACCCCACACTTCCCTGGGATAGAGTCCTGGTCTCCCTGGGTTATAATTGTCTGTTTATGGTCTCTCTCCCTCCCCATGCTCCGACTAGACTAGACTTCTGCTTGGAGCAGGACAATTCTTCCTCTTTGTACCTTCAGAGCCTGGCTCAGTGCCTGACACTTGATGGGGACTTAACAAATGCTGGGGGAGTAAAAGAAAAAAGCCAACAATGAGCTGACTACTAGGGTGGGGGTGGTATTCCATGCCTAGAAATGAAAAATTAAAGATAACAAAGTGAAAATCACTCTGCAGTAAGGGCCTAAGATAAAGGGGGGAAGTCAACTTGGCCACAATGTGTGAAGCTGGCCATTGGTTTGTGGTTCTCCAGCCATGTAAAGAAGGCAGATTGCACAGTACCCAGACACCAGAGCTCTGTGAGTCACACTGTTGCAGCCTTGGGGAGAGCACAAATGCCTGAAAAGTGTTGACCTGCTTAAAATGTACCCAGCCTGAAAGCTTTTAAATGCTTTTGCCCAGGCCAGGGTTACCCTGATTCTAAAAGACGGACCAGAAATTTCTGCTCATACACAGAGTCTTCACAGGGTGCAGATACTTGGCAGGCAAAATGAGTTTACCTGAACTTACCTGGGAGTCATTGAAGGGAAGGCATCCTGCTGCAGCCAGGAGGAAGAGAACACTGTGGAGAGGGAGACAGAATATGTAGCTTCACTTTTCAACATCAAAGGGTTTCAGAAAGAGTGTGAAGGCTGAAATACATCAGCTGGAGTTTGGATGAAGCAAAGATTCTGCAGGATCAAACCTAGTTCCCTGTTCATCCTCTGAGAGCCCTGAGACCCATGTGGTTTTTTACTGTGCTGTGCTGAGAACAAGTTCCTTCTCTAGTGCTCAGCTAGCTGGTTTCTCAAAGACAGGCATTTGCAAAACCACACCTGGTTTATTTGGGGAAAACAGTGTGCCTGTGAAACATGGAATAAAAGGATTTTTAAAGCTGCAGATCCCCAAAAATATACCAGTGGAAAATCAGGCAGACCATGATTATATTACTTACAAGAAAGAAAACAAAACAAATCTAAATTCACAGAGATGGAAACAGATGGAGATTACCAGAGGGGTGGGGGGTTGCAGAATGGGTAAACTGAGTAAAGGGTATCAGTAAATACAAACTTCAAGCAACAAAACAAGTCAGTCATGGAGAGGTAACATACAGAATGGGTACCAAAACCAAAAAGATGATATTATAAACTTGAAAACTTCTAATAAAAGATGGTAATATTTATTATGATGATCATTTCACAATGTATAAACATGGAATTGTTATATCCTATACTTAAAAATATCAACTATGGTTGATATCAATGATATCAACCATAGTGCAATAAAAGTAATGTTCTAATTCAACAACCTAAAGAGAAAATAAAAGGGACATGGAGGCCTCCCTGGTGGCACAAAGGGTTAGGATGCAGCACCGCAAGAGAGCTTCAGTCTGAATACGATCCCCGGTCCTGGAGGTGACCACATGGTGCAGCAGATCTCTCCTGACCCACCCGCTGCTCCCCTCAGCAGTGTACTTCCTCCATCTGCCTGTTCTGCTCCCCACTCTGTCTCTGGTGAGTCCTCTCACCACCCCAGCAACTCTGGCTTATACCCCAGTTCTGTATGCATAAATAAATAAATCCTAAAAAAAAAGAAAAGGACATGGAAAGCACATTAACATCTTTTATGTATCGCCTTAGTGAAATGATCTATACTAGTATTTCCACTAACTAGACAGACCAACATCGCGGTATTCCTGCCAAATATGCATAACCTCAATTGAAACAGGAGACAAAGCCAAATTGAGGGACAGTCCACAAAACAGTGGCCTCAAACTGCCCCAAATGAGAAGACAATGAAAGACAACAAATGACTAAAAACTTCTAAATTAAAGGATGAGAGGGACATGACTTCTCTAGGGGAAAAGATTACTATAAAAGACAATACGGGGATAGTTGTCCCTATTCGAACATGGACTCAATATTAGACAATAATATAAGATGTTACATAAGGTGTTGATTTTCTAAATTTAATAGCTGCAATGTGGTTAAGCAAAAGATTGTTATTTTTAGGAGATGCACTCTGAAGTATTTAGGAGTAGGGTTTCTGCAACTTACTTTCATATTTTTCAGAAAAAAAAAAGCATAAAAGTATTGTGTGTGTGTGTTACACACACAAGGAGAAAGAAAGGAAATGCACAAAATGTTATCAATGGATTATTATAGGTGGAGGGTTTGTGGAAATTCAATGTCATCATATTCTTTAAACTTTATTGTCGGTTTAAACCTTCTCCTCAAACAAGTGTTACTAGGAAAAATCTCTAACTATTTGCTGCCTCTACTATAAGAATGAAGACCATTTTCAGCAACCAGACAGTCAACATTCCAGAAAATGTTGACATCTCCCTGAAGGGAGGTGCTGTTATTGTGCAGAAGCCCGAGGCTCACTGCAGAAGGAATTCAATCACATCGCTACCGAACTCAGTTTTCTTGGAAGAAAAAGAAGATCCTGGTTGACAAATGGTGGGGCAACAGAAAGGAACTGAGTATTACTGGTACAACCTGGAATCGTGCAGAGATGCGATCAAGATGCTATAAGGAGTGTGCGCAGGCTTTCCTATCAACCTTGGTATTCAAAAGGATGGGTCTGTTGTTAAAATTTAAAATTTGGAGTGGGGGCAAGATGTATACTTGCAAGCTTCAGAGGAACTCAGGCCTTGCTGGTTCAAGCCCAGAAAGATTGTTGTCATTTCTTGTGAAAGAAATGACACCGAACTTATATCAAGTTCAGCTGCTTCATGCAGCAAGCTAGGACACTTAAAAACAAGGATATCGGGCCCTCCCTGGTGGCGCAGTGGGTTGAAGCACTGTACTAAGAATCAAAAGCTACTTCCGCATGAGTTCGATCCCGCCTGCCCCGGAGGAGATCCACTTGGTATGGCAGACCTCTCCTGACCCGCCCGCTGCTCTCCTCAGAAGTGCACTTCCTCGATCTGCCTGTTCTGCTCTCCACTCTGTCTCTGGTGAAGCCTCTCACCCTCCGCATCTCTGGCCTGTACCCCAGTTCTGTATGAATAAATAAATAAATCTTTAAAAAAAAAATATCAGGAAATGTGGGTATGGTATTTATGGTTCCGAGAAAGGAACAGTTTGGCAGGTTGATGCATAAGAGCTAAACCGTCAGGCCACAGAAACAGTAAGATTCTGCATGATTCCTCAGCTCTATTTGTGAGCTATGAAATACAATAAAAACCATTATTAATTTGGGAACTTTTTCCTAAACAGATTATCCTTTCCAACTGCTCAGCAAGTAAAATGTTCAGAAGTGAATTCTAGTGCACTAAGAGTAACTGAAGAAATAGGATTTTTTTTTTCTAATGAGACTTCAAGTGGATTGAATCTGGTTTCAGAAGGAGTATGAAGGGTCTTCCGGGCGGAGGAATATGGTCTCAGTGATAAGCAATGGGTGACTGTTCACCACAGGATGCAGAACTTTGGGAAGGTCATAATTTTGCAGATGACTGAAGCTGAACGCTGACAGGCAAGGGAGCTGGATTCCTTTTTTATATACCAGTAACGCCTTATGAAATGGTAACTGAGAAATGGAATAGAGTGATAATGTAGCCTCAGAGTCAAAAGCTTCAGCGTCAAAAGTTTGCCTTCACGATAAATATGGCTACTGTGGTCAAGGTCCTCTCAATTTTACCCTCTGCCCCACTTCAGTCCTTTACTCCAACTTCCTAATCCTGGACGTTTTTAAATTAAGCAAGAAAAAACAAAGAGCCAGCAACCATTTGTAACATGTTGGTCTCACTGACCTCTTAAGTCAAATGAATAAACAGGTTTTTCATATTTAAAAAAAGAAAAATCTCTTTCTGCCTACTGAAATATTTAGCACCTGAAATGCTATTTCCACAGGATTAGGACTGGGATTTACTGAAACGAGGTGCTGAGTGGAGCCATAGTTGAAAACTGTTAAAAGTGGATGAAGGTTGTAGGGGCCTTCATTATTTACGCACTGTTATCTATGTTAGAAAGTCAAAATAAAATATTTTTGTACAAAAAGTAACATTTTTCAATCACAGATACTTGCACAAAGCTAGCCACATTCATTAGAATGTTTTGGAACAGAATCAAATTTGGTTCAGAATTAGTGAACCTCTTCTGGGTTTCCCCATACCCAAAGGTCATACCCTCAGCTTACCCCAGCTATTCTCTCTTCTAGAAAGACCACAGAAAGCACAAAAACTCTTGACACCTACTTTTACCCCCTTTCCATTTTATAATACAATGGCATAGTGTTGTACTTTCTCACTTCTGACTAAAGCAAAGACTCAAAAGCATGAACAGAAGCTGTGTTTTTAGGGGACTTGGTTTTTATGACATCTCAGATAAGTACAGAATTCTGTATCATATATGTGCGTAATGTTAACAACCTGATAGTTATAACCTCATTACACTGACAATAGTGGTATTAATCAATCCTGTCCACACCGACAGTGCTCACTGTTGTCATCAGATGAAGCTGTGAACTGAAGAGACCAACATGGCCATCTGGCCCAAGGCAGGGGCGCTGGTATGAAGGAATCCTTTAACCTGGGCCTGACAGTCTTTGCAAATTTACCACAACAGGGGACAGCCTGAGGCACAGCCCACCCCATTCAGACAGTCTCACCAACTTCCAAGGCACACATACACATGGCCTAGAAGATATTCAGAAGCAAAGGGTTGGAAAAGTGAAGGCTACACAGGAATCAGCAGGTTTTGAGTGGAAGGTGAGAACACTCAGGGATTTGGTGTCTAACCTCCGGTGGGTGGCTTTATAGGACACAAGACACTTCTCCCATCCACAGCAATGACAGCTAGACAGCCTTCAAACAGACAACCCCATGGGGTTGAGGGATGATGAGAGAAAGCCAAGTATGAGACTGCCATCTTGGCTTGAGCAATACCTCATTCTATCAGGGATAGAGGGTGTTCATGCTTCTCTTTAACACCTGCTAATCTTTTAAACAAAAGATTTTTTTTTTCTTTCAAGTAGCTGCCTGTAGTAAAGACCAAAAGGCCAGAAATATTTGACACAAACGTCCTAAATCCATATATCAAAGCACCTCTGTTGATTTTTCTTGTCTACAGGACTGAGCTTCCAAGTCACTGTGGAAGAGGCAGGAAGGTTCTCACTGTGGTCAGAGAACAAGGTGCCCAGCTAGCACACAGAGGGCAGAGTCTACTCAAGGAAACTGAGTTCAAGAGGGTTATGCCCACGTGTCCAGGACCACAACTGGATCCCTGGACTCCAAGGCCCGTGCTTTCTCCACCATGAAAAATCTTAAAAACCCAATAAACCCTATTTTTAAAAACTGAAGTCATTTCTAATTTTTCCATGTTCATTCTCACCAGCATTGCACAACTCTAAGAACAGTTTTGGGCATCAGTGGCTGACATCTAGTATGGGTTGCTCCCCCTTGGGAACAACATATTTCAGGAAAAAAAAAGACTTCAGAATAAGTCACACAAGAGGGGTAAGAGTGTTTATAGTAACTTCTATAGACTCTCTGGCATCAATCTTCAGTGATTTATAGCAAAGTCAAAATCAGATTAACTCTTATATTTTAAAGGTTTGTGGATTTTTTTTTAAAAAAATAACTTACCTACAGACCTTTGCAGGAGAAGTTTTCTGTATGAAAATAAAGAGACTCAGAATTAATCTTTAGAATTTTTTCTTCCTGTAAAAGAAAATATTTAGACCAAAAGGTAAAGAGCTCCTGATTGAGTTTGCCAGGCATAAGGGCCCGATGCACTTGAGTATTTGCTGGAGCTTTGTCTGCTTGGACTGATGAGTCCGTGGCTGGCTCAGAGGTGTAGAGTTGAGTCACCAGACAAAGCTTCCCGGACTGCAGCTCTGCCACTCCCACCACGACAGCTAGATCTAGTCACAACAGGACAAAATGACGCTGGGGCCAAGCTTTCAAAAATTTACACACCAAGAAAAAAGCAGAGAAACCGCCATAAGCTGTATAAGAAGAGAAATTAAGCTCTCTTCAGCGTCTAGTCTGGTCTGTCTCTTTAAATTTTCCTCCTTAATCCAGTTCTGACTGAGCAGTGCTATAAATTCTCTAGTATGAGGTGTAAATTAAGAAATAGAAGAAAGGAGAAGGGACATTTTACTCCACCCCTACAGAGAAGGAAAAAAGGGCAGGCTGGGAAAATGTAAACTTGGCACTTAAGAGTTCCCTGAAAAAAAGAAATCAGAACAAAGATTCTACCTTTATGGATTCCTTATTATTCAGCTTGAGGAAATTAGTCCTTCGCACTGAGGAAGAAAGTTCTGGCAGAGGGAAACACAGATGTTTCTAAATTTGATAGGGGAAGTAGTCAGAAAAGACAGCAGATTAATTCTGACCACTTCAGATTGTTTTGCTAGTTGAGGGCAAACTATGATTTATTTTTACTCTAGTTCAAATGGACATAATGTTTAAAAGTGAAGTGCGGACAGAACTCTTGAATTTTCATGCATTACTAAATAATGCAGTTTCAGCACTTCATTTTTTTAAATTTGACTTTTCATTGAGATAGCTGGTTTACCACATTGTATTGAATTAGAAGGAAAGGATAATACCCTTCAGGTGTATGTTACCACACCACACCCTCCACTGAGTATTTCATTGTTTTGGTAAAGATCCTGTTTGCATACAAAGCGGTGACTTGCATCTTGGAGACCGAGCTACTGTTATCTTTGTGTCACCTGCTGCAGCTGAGGGCAAGCGAAGCCGCGCTTGACTCCACTGCCACCTGGTGGGGGGGACACATCCTTCAACACAGAAAGAAAACCAGCATCTGGATAATTCGCCTGTGATGGCTTATTAAAAGATTCTCAACAAAGATATCATGCTATTTGCAGCGACATGGATGGAGCTGGAAGGGATTATGCTTTAGTGAAATAAGCCAGAAAGAAAAAGAAAAATACTGGATGGTTTCACTCATAGCAGGAGTGTAAGGGGTCAGGGGAAAAAAAAAAGGCAACTGTAATAAGTAAAAACAAAAATCAACAACTATAAACCAGAGACAATCTACAGGGGCAGGAAGAGCACTCGGGATCTGGTAATGGCACATGGGTGAAGTGGTGGTGGGAAGTCCACAGGAATTACAACTGAGATGGAAAAATGTACAAAAGGAAGAATGATGTTTATATATGTAAGTTTAAAAAACTGAACCTCAACAGTTTGCGGGACAAGGACATTGGTGAAAAAGATGCTCCAGCAGTTCCATGAGTAACCCAGCAACTATTTGGGGCTTAGTTACAGAGCAACAAAGCCACCCAATGCCCAAAAGAGCTCACCCATTTCACAGGCGAGGTTCTTGTGGGTTTATTTTTTACTGTTTTTAAAGTAACATTGCATTGCGACATTATATAAGTTTCAGGTGTGCACTGTTACAAATGCACTACATTTCTTTCTTTTTTTTTTTTAATCTTCTGACTAAAGGAGCCCAAAGTTGGGATTGGTGAGTAGAAGCAAGCAATAAATTGATTACTGAATGCCATTCCCCCCATTGTCCACAACTGAGGAGTAATGTCAGGACATTCAGCTTTTCAGGTTCTTCAATTTAAAAATTACTCTGTGATAAGCCCTAAACTCAGTATGGATCAGTTTAACAACTCAAAAGTATATTGCCAAAAAAAACCCCCAAAAACAATGAACATTGAAAAGCACTCTGGGTTAGCAACCTTACTCTGAGGGCTTCTATTTCTGTATCCCGAGCTGTTCGTCTCACTTCCTTAGGGGCTAATTAACAGGCTTGGGTAATATGGTACAGAGAGGACACCGAGGCACTGGGAAATCAGGTAAGTGGCCCCAAAGCTTGGGCCCAGGAATCTAGTGCCAGAGCCTTTATGATGTTTTTTCTGCCACAGTCTGTCAGCCAGTCCTGTCCCTACAGCCCTCTGGCCCCGTCAGGGCACCGGCCATCATTGCTGCTTCCTCTGCCTGCCTGAAGTGCCTTTCCTCTAGGAAAGGAAAACTCCCACTCATGCAGTGTGACCGAGTTCATATGTAGGCTGTGGCCCTCTAAGCAGGCTGCCCAGGGGTCACACCTGTTCCAGCCCATCTGACATTCTGTGGGTTACTGCAGCCTGTGCTTAGGCATCAGCTACTCCCTTCAACCTGAGTTCTATGAGGGTGACAAATACATCCTCTACATTTTTATAGCTGTAGGCCTAACAAGGTGTTTGATATAAAGTATATATTTAATACCTGTGTAACAGTATTCTAATGATAAATTGTGATAAATATGTCTGCAAGGTAATAAGACTAATTCCATAAGTCTACAAAAAAAAGTCTAGTTGACTTCTGTTTCTCCCCCTTCTGCATTCTCTACAAATAATTACATCTTATTACATTCATAACAGAAAGATTTTATACACACACACATACATATAAAACGAGGAAGCTACGTAACCCACTCAATTGTTTTTTAATTTGCCATGGCAGGAATGATGTTCTCTGATTGTGACGAAAAGAGGTCGACAATTCAAAATATGTCAGTGTTCATCCAGTTCCTTCCAAGGACAGTCTCTCTGAGCCTGGTGGTCTAGCCCCAAGAGGAGGAAACCCTGAGGACTCTTCAGTCCCTAGTCCTATATTAACTCTCATCTATCTGATCTGATTGGTCCCTCAGGAAGCAATACCCCATGAAGATGCCTGGATCTTGGCCCTAGATCAGGTAATTGTTCATTTTAAATTCAGAGAAAAGTATCCACTTCATGAATAAGAAGCTTTTTCAGAATTTGAGTGGCCTGAGTCTCCCAGAATCTAGGTAGCTCTTAGAAATTATCTGAGGTGGAAATCTCAGTGACTCGTTAGTAGATACTCCGCTGGGCTCCAGCTGAGCACTGAGGCTAATAAGAGAACCACCTGTGGTCCTTGCAAGGCGATGGTTCAGAGGAAGCAGGTAGAGACAAAGGGTAAATCAGACCATTTCATTGAGCCTGCAATGCTAAAACCAGAGAGAATCCCCACTTGGGGCTGTAGCACGCAGTGCCAGAGCTTTGCTTGCAGGTGCTCGGCATTTTACTACCTGCCACCAGTGGCCCACCTGGGGCTCAGGCTGCTGGTAGCGGCAGGCAGTGGTGGTTGATGGCAGTGGTTCCGTACCACAGCACCCCAGGGCACGCAGCCTCTGGGGCCTCAAGGGACCAGCTCCATGGCTCTGGCTCCTTCCAGCTGCAGGCTGTGGAGAAGACCCTGGATTTGGCTCTTGAGCATGGAACGGATCATCAGGTATAAGCTATGAGCTGATTGGTAGATGGTCCAATCAGCCATAGGATTGAAAACGGTCCAATCAGATGGGTTGGTGCAGGACCTGAAAGGGGATATAAGGCAGGAGGGAAGCCAGAGTGGAAAAAACACGCTTGCCCTTTCACTGGGCTTTAATGCTTGCTCAGACAGCTGACGCCTGTGCTCTCGGGCTTGTTCACTTGGACTGGACTCAGACTGGATGCTGTCAAAAGCCCCTGAAGGAAGAAGAGAAGCTGATAAAGCTTCCAGAGAAGCCAAGGCGCTTTGCAGAGACCAGGGGCCCGATTCCTGCCCCCAGCCTGCCTCTGACATGGCCTAGTGTGAGAGGACTCAGGCTTGCTATTTCAAAGAGCTATTTGTTGGTGTGGGCCACACTAGTGATCAGCAGTAACTGGCACTCTGTGACCAGGTCATTTCTGAGAACTGTCCATCGTCTGTACCACCTGCCTTGTGTGGTCCAGCGCCTGGTGCTGTCCATTCCAACCTTGGGACTGCAACTGTGAGCTGCTCCAGAGTCATCTCAGTGGCCCACCTGTGAGCACCTCCAGCTGTGGGGAGTTGGATCCTGACCTGCTTTTGCTGACTGCCACATGTGTCAGGCCCTTGTTGACAGGACAGCGCCATCTTGAATGAGCAGCCTTTTGTTGGAACGTCTGGACACTGAACACTCTCTGGGGTGAGCTAGCTGGCCAGTCGTGGCCGTAAGAACTCCTTATTTCCCTTGTTAAATAACCCTCATCCCTTGTCACCTCTGAGCTTGAGCGGTCTTGCCATGTGTTCATGGGTGAAGAACCCCCACAGTGACCTGTCCTCCATCTCATGATGTCTTTTTGACTGGCTATTGTCCCCTATAGCCCTTTTTCACTGCCACAGGTGGTAAAAATCTTATTTTATAAACTACTAAGAAAGAAAAAATCTAGACTATGACATATCATGGATTGTAAAAGCATTCCAACTTCATATAGCTAAAACTTTTCAAGTGTGAATAAAGTAGCACATTTCAAAACTGATGAAATCAGGAAATGTGATGATACTGCTAAGTGTCAGAGAAGGTGTCAGGCTTCTGGAGTGCCAGAAAGGCTATTGCCTGCAGGTCAGCAGAAGAACCTTGTCACCGCACGGTCCCCTGGCATGTCCCGCAATCCTCACTCCTTCGCTGCTTTACCACCAAGAATCAAATCAGTCTCTGATCAGAAAGCACTCCCATTGCACTCAGCATAAATTCCAGATTCCTAGCTCAGGCTTGGAGGTCTCTGTCTCTATCAGAGAGGGATGTACCAAAGGTGAAGAAACTTGTTCTACCTGCTGTGAGGCAGAGCTGGGTTTGGAAAGAAAATGAATTCCCTGGGATGAGCTAATGTTTCCAGTACCCCGCGTGAGGCTCTGCCCTGTTTCCATGTGGCTCTGGGGTGAGCTGTGGGTGAGAATGCTGTCCCAGCAGATCCACAATTAATTCCTGCTTCTATCCAAGACTTTGGTTCAGCCCTTGCCTGGGCTGAGTTCGTTGAGATCAGCAAGCATGCCTATGTGTGTTGAACTGAAGGGAAAGCGAGAAGGGACTCCTTTAAATTAGCCACCACTGGTAAGCAGGCTGAGCTGGAAATAGATGGCAGGAATGGCAAACACTCATTTGGGTCCTAAAACAAAATGCGTCTTTGAAATTTAAAGCAAAGGAAGAGAAACTATCATTTTTGCATTATTATTTACCTCTTTCTGAAAGCAGCTCTGGTGCCCACAGGCGATAACTTCAGCTACATTATGCAAAGTGAGAAACACAGGAATGGTCTGGGGGAAAAAAAAGCAGAATAAACATGAAAACATTTTGTTTGATCTTATAATTACATAATTCTAGATTTCTGCTTAAAAATAAAGATCTGTGGGAACTTTTGGCACCCACATATATAAACCTATCCGGCATAATACTTCTGCATGGATTTGTGCTCTGTTGTGGCATTACTCTTGGTGGGGTGGGTGAGTACAGGATCTCCCTTTCCGTGGATATTCTCATCAGCAAACTTTTATTAAGCACCCGCTGTGTGCCAGACACCATGTCAGGTGTAGGGGAAACAGCCTGTGGACAAATGAACAGGTCGATATGAAAGCTTCTTATTGACCTCTGACAGGACATACAGAAAGGCAGACTAACCCAGGACAGGTGTCATGGGGGAATTGAAGTCCAAAGTCTAAACCTGAACTGAGTGATGAAATAGTGAGCCACACAAGAGGTGGGAGAGTGTTTTAGACAGAGGAATAGAGAGAGCCCAATGAAGAAGGCAAGCCGCCACCTCCTCCAAGAATTGGAGGAGGGAGGGGAGAAGTTGAGCATGGTAGAACAGGAGCTCAAGGGAGACACAAGGAGAGGAAGGGGATGAGGTGGTCACAGCCCAAGGAATCAGGACCATCCTGAAGCGCATAGGAGTTCCCAAAGAGTTTTAAAGCAGACAGTGACACGGTCTGACCGCAAAAGAGTAGCTATGTAATAGGTTGAAAAATGGCCCCTGAAAGATATCTACAGAAACTACAGTGGTATCCCAAGAACCTGAGAATGTTCCTTTCTATGGCAAGAAGGGCCACTGCCAATGGACCTAGGTTAGAAGCATGAGAGAATTTATCCTGGATAAATCCTGGTAAAAGCATGTATTGTGCAGATTGACATGTTAATGTCCCAGGCACAGAGGCTTTAACTCTGTTTAATGGCAGTATACTTTAGTTGGTATTGTGGCTTTGACTATAGGCAGGAGTAAAGCAGGTACTTCCCATAATACAGCTGCATAAGCTGCAGAGAATAGCTTCCTCTGTGTGGGCATGAGTGAACCAATCTCATCTTCCTGCTAGTTTGAGCTTCAGCTATTTTTGTCTGGATGTCCCAAGCTCAAGCTGACAATCAGCATCTCACACAGACCCAGGCTGCCAATACTGTCACTGTCCTCAGCTCCCTACAGAGGGGTGCTGGTGCCTAATCACTACCTGGCAGTATAAATCTGCATTTTCAGGCACAGTTCTTCTGTGGGTCTGCACCTCGATGCCTACAGTTATCCGGCAGTAGACCCTCTGATGCACCATCTCTCTGGACCCTTCTTTTATATTTCTTTTTAAAGATTTATTAAAGATTTTAAAGATTTACAAGAACTGGGGTACAGGCCAGAGGTGTGGAGGGTGAGAGGATTCACTCGAGGCAGAACGGGGAGCAGAACAGGCAGATCAACGAATTACACTGCTGAGGGGAGCAGCGGGCGGGTCAGGAGAGGTCTGCCATGCCATGTGTTCACCTCCCTGGCCCGGGATTGAACTTGTGCTGCAATGGTTTTGGATGGCTTTATAGTGCTGTGCTTTAACCCCTTGTGCCACCAGGTAGGGCCACTACTTAAAACTTTTTTTTTTTTTTAAAGATTTATTTTTTTGTGCATACAGAACTGGGGTACAGGCCAGAGGCTCAGGGGCGGTGAGAAGCTTCACCAGAGACAGAGTGGGGAACAGAACAGGCAGATCGATGAACTACACTGCTGAGGGGAGCAGCAGGTGGGTCAGGAGAGGTCTGCCACACCATGTGGTCACCTCCGGGGCAGGCAGGAATCAAACTCATGCAGAAGTGGCTTAAGCCTCTCAGTGCTGTGCTTTAACCCACCAGGCCACCAGGGAGGGCCCTACTTAAAACTTTTTAAATATGAATTTCTCAGGCTATACTTTTCTACTAAGAGAGCAGGTTTTAGAGACAGCAGTTCTGTGACAGACTCTATCAGCCTCTATAAAAATCTCTTAAAAGAATATTGAGGCTATTTGCAGAGTTACTGATTTTCCCTTGACTGTGCACATCAGGATACACACACACACACACACACACACACACACGTGGTTCTTTTAGAAAACCTGCCCTTTTATCATCTTTATTTAGTCAAGTTCAACAGGACTTTTATGGGATGATAACAGAACTAGAAGAGCTAAGAAATATATTTATGAAATGCCAGACACTACTTTTACATCTTAGTCTTCATATTAAGTCTGAGTCAATAGATACTATTTATATCTCCATGAAGCAGATACAAGAGCTGCGGGAAATACTCTGGTTCTTTTTTAACCTGCCTCTTAATTATTAGATAATCTAGATACTGGCTTGTTGTTAAAGAGATCAGAAAAATAAAAATGTTCTTGTCAAGACTCTAGGAAAAAACCTTCACAACAAAAGGTGATTACCATCTTTCATCATGAAAAATGATGCACGGTCAACTAATACAAGGTCCAACTCCTCATTTTGATGCAAAATGTAATTCAACTATATTGCAGCCAGTTCATTTAGTTACTTAAGAGCACCATTTATAACTAATTTAATCTTAGCATCCATTAAGTTAAAATTCGAAATTCATGAATCATTGGATATTCTTTTTCTGGCTGTCAAGAGAAAATTGTAACTTAAAATTTTCCATTATTTCCATGCTCTTAAGAATACAATGTTGAGGACTTGATTGTTACTTGTTCAAGAGTTAGAATGACTGAGAACAGCTTTCTATGGAAAATCCTGGCCCTGCTCCCAGGCAAGGCCTTGGGTCACTCTGCAGAGGTGTGGATGATTCTGGTTTTATTCAAGTGCAAGTCTAGGGTGGCTTTTTCCCTTTTTTGCAAAAGAAACCCCAATCCTACTTTCTCTTTGGGTAATCTTTATTTTTATATTTTTAAGATTTACTTATGTATACAAGAGCTGGAGTGCAGGGGTAAGCTGATTCACTAGAGAGAATAGGGAGCAGAAAATGCAGATCTCTTGAAATACACTGCTGAGGGGAGCAGCCAGGAAGACAGGAGCAGTCTGCTGCGCCATGTGGTTTAGCTCCCTTTCTGGGCAACCAACTTTTGCTGCAGTGCTGCAGATAGCTTCATAGTGCTGAGACTTTTTAAAATTTTGAGTGTGGCCTTCTACAATACAGAGTAATTGCACTCTAGGGCCTTGCCTAAGAATGCAACTTGAACTGCTGACTGTCCAATTTTTATCAAAATTGTTCATGCTGGAAATAATGTTCCTAGAGAATGGCCTAAGGCAGTCTGCCCAAGGTGAACACAGCCAGATAACCTGAGAGCCCCGGAGCAGCCCCAGAGAACTGCTCCTCCCCAGCTGAGTGCCACACCATCAGCCTCCAGTACACACTAAGAATCCCTGAAACTAGGCCGTCACCATGTTACAAGGATGTTACTAAGTTATCAAGTCTCTATGAAACACCACTGTGAGCAAGGAAGTTTTGCTTTACTTCAGCAAAGGCCCTGCCCTTATTTTATCAGCTGAGAGTCTTAAAGCTTTTTCATTTAGTTGCAGGATGCTGAGAGCTCCAGTCAATGCCTGGCTGTGTTGTTTTTGTTTTTGTTTTTTGTAAAATATAACATCCTAATTTCTGGATGCTAAGTCCTTCTGTGGTTTTGTCTAGTTCTTTGCTCTCTATTTAGATTTCTTTTTAAATTCTTCATTAAAAATGTAGTTACAGAGCCCTTCTTGCTGGCACAGTGGGTTAAAGCGCAGCACTATGAAGCTCTCCACAACCACTACAGCTTGAGTTCAATTCCTCATCAGGGAGGTGACCCACATGGAGCAGCAGACCTCTCCTCTTTCACCTGCTGCTGCCCTCAGCAGTGTTTTTCAGTCAATCTGCCTGTTCTGCTCCCCATTCTGTCTCCGGTGAATCCTCTCACCCCTCTAGCCTCACACCTTTGTCTGTACCCCGGTTCTTGTATGCATGAATAAATAAATCTTTTTAAAAATAAATAAAATTGAAATATAGTTAATCATATAGTTAAAATTATTATTTTAATCATAATTCTTTTAAGTCAGTATGCAGCCTTTGGAAAGTGGTAGGTAATATACATCTGAATATGTATATTTGTAAATCTAAATTAATTTAGATTTAAGGACTTACTTGCATTAACTTTATTATTCTGTCACTAGCTGGCAAACTCCTCGAGGGCACAGTGGGCTCACACTCCCCTCTCTGCCTATGACTCCCCAGCTCAAACTTCAACACCATCTTCGCACTTCATATACACATAAAGTAGCTGATTTCTGCTTAGGAACCTCATTGTCTGAAAAAAGCATCTTCAAATTCTCAGAGTTCTTCCAGTTTGGCAAGACACAAGGGAATAAGATCAGCACTCAGGGGTGACATCAGCCCTGTAGCAGCCTCCCGCTGGGATTAGAACCCATGGGCCAGGGCAAAGGGCTGCTTTGCCTGCTTTCTGTGGATTGCTATTTTGCTCATACTTTCTACCCAAGAGCACAGACCAGAATTCAGTTAAACTGAATATGCAATCCTACAGCACTCCAAGGAGTCCTGAAGGAAGCAAGGGAGGGCACACTATCATCCTCTTCTCGTGTGCTCCTCCCGAAAGCCTCTACCAGATCATATGTGGAATATAGAGGGGGGAAAACAAAGGAAAGGACAACAAACCAAAGCCCCACAAATAGGACTGTAGAATTGAAGCTACAGAGGAGGGGAAGTAGGGGGAGAACACAAGGGAGAAGGAGACCTAGTGGCCTAGGATAAAGGATGGGGGTGGTGCCATACATCTGAGGAGGTGTGAACCAATTCCCATAAATCTGTGCTGCGATGCAAACCAAGATTACCTCAATAAAGACAAAAAAAAAAAAAACCCACCTAGGGGTTGTTTATAAATGTTTTAAAATTGGCTAAAATATACATATACCATTGTAGTGGGGCATTAAGGTGCAGGGCAGGAAGGGGAACTGGGTTTCAGGCAGGGGAGGGCAGCGAATCTTCGGTCTGTTTCCTTGGGCTCTCTGGTGTTTCCTC